AAAATCGTGCAGCCCTAATGTATATACAGCAGGGCTTTTTCAGCCATGTTTGTGCTGCATTTCTGCTGATGTCCAAATCTTTATACAGTTATAAAATCAACCCTCCTTATAGAACAATTCAGTGTGTTTGTGTGAAGAAAAACGATAAAGATTGTAGCAAACCTGGTGTTGGACAGACCTCTTTAATGAGTATGTTTGTGACTTCAATGCAGTTTTAGTTAGACTGATATAACTGCAAACATTCTGGCTTTTTAGTAACAATGTAACTGCATTTCACTGATCAGACATCTTCAGGCTGCTTGTCTTCAATGACTGACTTGATCAATCCAACAGAGCAGCTGGGATCAGCATGGAGATGAACCTGATGATGTTGCTGCTGAGGCTTTGATGTGATGAACATGTGTTTCAAATGCTGCATAAATTAAAATGAATTGACAAACATGAATGCTGTGTCTTCGTACAGCTCATGTTGTGTTGTCGTCCTCTCAGAGTGTCAGGTGGAGGTGGTGGAGGGGGCGGAGTCTGTCCTGCTGCCCTTCAAAACCACAGAAAACCTGCCTGGAGACAGTGATGTGGAGTGGAAACGCCACGAACCCGAATACATGAAGGTCTACGTGTATGAGAACGGCTCTGACCGGCCCGACAAACAGGACGACCATTACAGAGGTCGCACTGAGATGAACGCTGACCTGCTGACCGCTGGAGACCTCAGTCTGACCCTGAGACAGCCCACAGTGAAGGATGCTGGGAGATACGCCTGTGAGGTCAACAGCAAGGAGGCCTGGAGATACAAGAGGGTGTGGCTCAGAGTTAAAGGTTGTAATCGGTGTGAATGTGTCTAATGTACTGTCCTATCTTTGTATCAGTTCTGTCTGTTTGTCAGCAGTTTAGTTAACTTTAAAAAAGCATTTCAAGTCATGAGAAAGGTCATCGAGAGAGCTGTGCAACACAGCTTTTGTTTTTATGTCCTACGACGTCACAATGATGCTACATAGTTTCACTAAGTCAGACACACAGCTTATAGAAGCCAAAGATTTCAGTACACCGTTTTAGTCTGTAATGCTTCAGGGTCAAAGGTCAGCATGTAGCAATTAAAACATCAAAGTGTTAGTTTAGCTCCGAGTGTTTGTTAGTGACTTCCTGTGTTTCCTCTGCAGGGAGAGATCAGGTCCAGGATCAAGCCGAGGACAACAAGGGTATTGAAATGATTCCTCTGATGGACCAACAGTCAGCTTAATCTGACTGGTCTGTGATTATGGATCTGACTGGTCTCTGATTATGGATCTGACTGGTCTGTGATTATGGATCTGACTGGTCTGTGGATCAGAGAGAAAACACCAGTAATGGGATGAAGAGGGAACGATGCTGAGCTCATCCACGTTCTGTGAGGATGTTTTCTGCTCACACAGCTGAACCCTGCAGTGACTGTAGCTCAGCGCACTCATGCAGCTTCAGCTGTTTGATTTGTTACCACATTAGCACAAACAACACTCATGATGTGCATTTTATATTGTACTTACCCATAATGCCTTGCTGTTCAGGTCTCAGCTGTGATCTGGGTGCTGTTTAGTTGATGTTTGGACCTCATGTCTGCACGGCTCCTACATGTGTGAGGCTTTAGTGTTGGCTGTGTCTGTAAAACTGCACAAAATATAAGACAACTAACACTTTAATATACATGTAGCTAATGAAGTGCACGACGAAAAAGAACAAAATGTTTTTGTAAAATGCTGCTGAAGAGAAAAGAAATAAACTCCATCATCTGTCTCTGTCTGATGTGTGAGTCAGGTTTGGGTGGAGGGCGTAGAAGAAACGAATCCTCAGTACTCACAGAGGACCACCTCCCTCCAACAGTCTGTCTGGGCCCTTTCTGACACATTTAGCTGTAAAGTCACTTTGTCTTTGTTATTCTTTACACAGTTAATCACTTTGGTTCACTCCTCACAACACCTCAAAGTGTGGAGGAAGCGGTGACTCAGATAACCAATCATTACAGCCAAGGTGTGGAGTTCATGTTCAGACAGTCTGAAGACACGTGTGTCAGGTTACCTGTGGATTCTGAATATGCTGTGGGTGTGGATGTTGGGATTGTAGCTCTGAGCTCACACTGGCTGATAACGTCTCACCTTCCAAGACTGCTGGCTAACAGCTAACGCTGCATGAACTCCTGCACCTGGTGATGTGATGGTGTGGGCAGTACCTGCTGCTGCTGACCGTGTCCATCCCATAATGACCTCAGTGTACCATCCTGTGATGCTTCCAGCAGGAAAACAAAGCTCAGATCAGACGTGGCGATGAGTTCACTGCACTCAGACACCTCCACAGTCACAGATCTCAGTCCAGCAGAGCATCTTTGGTAGAGTGACATCATAAATGTGCAGCCTGTGTGTGATGACATCACATTAGCATGGACCCAAACCTCTGAGGATGTTTCCAGCACTGTGATGAAACTGTGTCATTAACAAACAAGGGAACAGGGCACCAGCATGGTGTACCTAATAAAGTGGCCTTGAGAATGCCTCTACGCAACGTCTCCATCTCAAGTGTCTCCAGCAGGGGGAGCCGTCTGATGCTTTATTGTCACAGTGACATGTCACAGCGCACACACTCAGGGCCACTTTATTAGGCACACCTGTGTACCTAATAAAGTGGCCCTGTGTGTGTATTTACTTGTGCAAATAAGGGTTTAACGTGCTTTTAAGTTCTGTG